GACATGGTGTTGAGACTTACAGTTTGCTCTGTTCCATCCATACGCTGGGGTACTCTCCATATTTAGAACCATTGCGGCTGGTGACGGGGACGGTCTTGGTTCGTTTTGGCATTTGATTACAAAGAGGAGATCATACCGGTAGTAAGTGTCTCAAAACACGAACTACTGGCCTTTCCAGCGAGGAGAAATGCGTCACGGTTGGTGACAGCAGGGACTTCACAGATGGCAATCACAATTTACCTGGTGGCATTGAGAAGGCTTCACTTTAAGAAACGTATGCAAAAGAAGGCACGAGGCAAAAAGAGTTAAATGGTTCCAATGAGGTAGAGTGTTTGACGTGACGGTTTCTGAGCACATTATAGGAGACTAGCTTGCATCTTTCTAGCGAAACAAAGTACCACATACTCCGAGTAGATCTTGACACAGTTCAGTCCCCTGTCCTCTGCTCTTCATCCCTCGTGTTCAAAACCTTCTCAAGCTCATCCAAAATGCGCACTGTCGCGTTAGACGACTTCTTGTAAGCCTTTTCTTTTGACTACTGCTCGCCTATGTTCGCACGCTCTTCTTCCGTCTTCCTTGGGGCACGAATGCCTTCCTCCAGGATAAGCTTTGCACTGCTAAGCTCTTTCTGTCACTGTCACATTGGAGCAACAGTTCCCTATGCTCTTCATGGATCGCCTCAAGATATGCATTCCTTAACTTTAGGGTCTTTATCTTTATTTCAAGGGATGCGATGCGCTTTTCAGCCTTGATATTTGCACGTTCGACGGCTGTTTTGTCTTTAAGTTTAGACTTGAGCATTGCGTTCTCTATAGTGAGTCGTTCGCCTTGCTAACAATCGCGGCGTACCATTAATAAAATCTCAGAAGTCTGTCCACCATGTTAGTATCTTGGAAGCGAGAAGACTAAACGGGTATTACAGTTGCACGCTGTTCAGCTAAAAGGAGTCTTAGCATCATATATCACTTCAAATGAATGTGAAGCTTACGTGGAATCTCACTGTCACCAGACTCTCCGTCGCTAACAACAACAGCGGCTACTTCTGGACGTTGACTCACTGGCAGTGTTAGCATTGCAAGGAGCCTCACTCTGATTGTTCTGCGTACTCGCGTTGCGTCGTGACGGTTCGATGATGGCCGGAGCGCTCAGGCGCTGGCTTTCAAGGAAATCATGAGCCATTTCGTCCCTGTCCCTCCTGGTGGTGGTGATGCGTTGCTTGCGAGACTTGCCGCTAGATTGAGCTCGCGCCACTGGATACTGTGCTATAGTTCAACTGTTCTGTGGCTGTTCGTATGATAGTGCATTTACTTTGGCGTATGGTCGTGGGCCTGGGTGGATATCCTGTATGATCGGGGCGTAGGGACCGATCTCAGAATGAGTGTGGTAGGCAGCGGGGATCTGACGGGGGGGTGACAAACGGCGAAGCTCCACGCTCTGACCACTGCTTATTTCCTGTCACAGCAAACTGGTGGGTGAGAGAACTTCGGGCGACATGATCCGCGCTGCACTCCAGATCCAGGCGCATCTTCAGCATAATCGCTCACCCAAGCGCTAAATTCGGTATTTTTCCGGTATTCTGGTGTAAACTGCCTATCGTGCTCTTACTCTCGATGTCGCCGCAGCTGCTGTTGGCACGTTAGGTGCCCGTACGTCGGCTCACCGACACCATATACCACGGTATTGTAATTATTATCGCTGCAAGCATCTGACAGTCCAACGTCGCTTTCTTTGCGCCTAACTGTTCTTTCCTATCCAAGAAACCCGAACAGTCGCCCACACACTCTCCCAGCTCAACATCTACAACGCCGTACACTGATCCCTGGGCCAGTCACCCTGGCAGTCGCTGTCCCAAATCGACCTTACCCACGCCGCCTCGATGACTCAAGATACGCTAAACAAGCGCAGCTCGACCAAGCCAACACCTTCGTGCAGCTAAGCAGTAACTCCGCCTCCGCGGGCAGGCCTGACATGAACGCGTTCAGGGAACTCAAGATCCGCTTCACTGAAGCCCCAGTCCTTACTCCGACCTTGACCCGCGTTAGTTGAGTCGAACGGTTCCAACCCTGTACTCTCTGCAGGGGCGTCTCAGTGGCGCCATGTTGTACTCAAGCCGATAACTTTCCTGTCGTAGAAGCCTACATCTGCCGTGACCAGGTCTACTACGCAGAACTCCTCGCCGCCATTGTTCGTGCGTTCGAAGAATGGCGGCTGGAGCTTGCTGGCACTCCGCACTCGATCACAATTTTGTCCGACCATCAAGCTCTACATCATCTCATAGCGAACAAGAGACTCAATCGCCGCCCGGCCCGTTGGGCGACTCTCTCATCTGAGTTGAGCTTCAAGATCACTTGCCGCCCCGCCGCACAAGGTACCGAGCTAAATACCCTCGCATACCGGCCGGGCGGCAAGGACGACTGATGCTAGTACCAAGTGCGGATACTCCTCAAGTCTTTCCAATTCGGCGACGAACCCAGACCGCACCACGATGGCACGATTCCGCTCGGATCTAAACGTGAGAACGATACCAGACGGACCGCTATACACTACGTACGGGTTGCCCTGCGTGAGTACGAGGGGGACGTTGAAGCTTTGGCTGCGATGGTCTGTCAATTGGGTGAACTGTCAAACCATAATGAGGAAACTTTTGAATCACTGCTTGTGGCGCAGACTCGTTCATTGACAGGGCGGGAGGAGACTTCGAACACCCTAACCCCAACACCGGACGATGGCCTGTCACCTGACGAAGAGCGCCTTCCAGAACCTCACCGTGATTACAAAAATCCGCCTCCGATCGCGGAGGATAAGGCAATTGGCTTCATTATGTTGATTCTAGACCTCGCAATGGAGACGTGCGCCGGGTAGCAGAGGAAGACATCTTGTAGATTGTCGGGAAAGCATACAACAATGAGAAACGTCACTGAGAGCATGAGAGCCAATGAACGCGGATGCCGACGCGTACCGTGGGGTATGACTGAACACGGATTGCGGTCGGGGCTTAAGGACTGCGAAGTCACGAACAGCACAGCCCAAGTCAAGAAGAAGCTCTGCGTAGCGCCCGCAGCGCGCTAGACCGTTGTTAATTACATCCACACCTCGTTGATGGGCGAACACACATGTACGCACGTCACACACATCAAAGTCAGCTTCTGGTACTACTGGCCTGGACTGACAGCGGACAGAAAAGAGGAAAATCCGATACCTTCAATTAAGCGGCCCCTCGGGAGGTCTGGACTCAAGGAATCCAAAACCTCGGAGAGATTGCGGGAGGGGTCAATGAATTTGCAGTTGACTCGAACAAGGCCAGGGCGGTACGAATCCTCAACGCCCTTACCCCGAAGGGAAAGAGATTATCGCGCTCGGGTGTTGATTGCAAATGCTGATGACAGATCTGGACCGTGACTTGCTGGTTGCGAAGCGCAAAGGTGTTTCCGAGCTCCAAGACGGAGGATGACGATTTCTCCAAAATAGCTCTAGTAGTGCCGGGACTTCTCCAAGTCACATCTAGAAGGCGATTGCTCCTCCAGCTTCCCCTCTACTGGACGAGCGCACTCAGAGATGATGCTATGGCGATTCTGAAAAGGAATCCGCCACACTAGAACGATTCCAATACCTGCATCTCGCCCGCCACAGTCCCCGCCTATTGTGACGCGAGGGAGATCGGTCGCCTCTAAACGTGCGTAACGTCTGGCGCCCATTGTCTCCACTTGAAAGATAGAAGAAAATTCAGCACCTTCTATATGTTCACCACTCTTGTGTGCAAGCCCTATTGGGCTATAAGCAGCTCTAAGAGTCAGAATCTACTCGACATGAGTACACCATCCACGATACAGCAATGCGTCACTCACGTCCAGGCAACAACCACTCTTTGTTGCATACAATGATGTCGTTCTCTAGGCCGTTCAACACTCCCTCTGCAGTCAGGCAAAGCTCTTATCGTACCTAAAATTCAACTCGGCGCCTGCTCCACCCTTCACATTCGCCTTCACAATTACCTTCACATTCGCCTTCACAATTACCTTCACATTCGCCTTCACAATTACCTTCACATTCGCCTTCACAATTACCTTCACATTCGCCTTCACAATTACCAACACATTCACCGTTCATGGTCGCAATTGAGGTGGCTCTCTCGAAGACTGCGCCATCTCCACTGTCTCGTTTGAACACTTCAAAGCCCTCAAAAGCGGAACTTTCTTTCGACGAATCTACCCTCTCCGTATCAGATTATCCAATCCGTGATCCACACTGACTCCCGACACTATGGGTAGCCAGACCACCCCGCATCGTTTGCGAGACGCAAAAAGGATCCAGCTTAAGGAGGTTCGTTTCATAAAGTCTTCGAAAAAGGTGAGTTATCGTATTATTCGGGCTTGCAACTCGTGTACTGATCTAAGCCAGGCAACTCAGGGCGTCCACAGCGGAACCACGGCCATCTTACACTCACCAATCCGAAGTCTCAGGAAGCGGTGTATGCAGTCATCTTTCTTTGTGCAAATCAACGCTGATTACAGTCCAGACCAAAAAAGGTCGCTGTTTGGGCAGGGATCGTATGGTAATGTGCACAAAGTGGTAGAGATATCAACAGGAAAGGTTTTCGCCATGAAACAATTCGCGCGCGGGCCCCAGGGAGTCTTGATTGATTCATTGATCTATTCAACGTCTACTTGCTGCACTTCCGGGGGTGACTATTCGACGGGTATCGCCCTGGGGTTCCCAGGTGTACCTGTTCATGGGTAAAAATAGTTATAAGGATTGTCACCGCAGGTTGTGACGTCTCCCCTTATTTCATGCCGCCCACGAACTTGTTTACGTGCTGTCTTCCTTCCACGCTATAATCCTTCGGGTTTTATAACGTATATGCCTTGTACCCTCAGAGTAAAACCTTGTAGGGGAAACCCCTGAAGCTTGAACAAGTAGCGCGTTCAGCCCCCCCATGTTAAGCCGAGTGTCTAGCCGCTACCGGTAGTTAAGCGAGCCTTGGTCACCACACAAGGTGGTTTTGATTGCTGCTGGATTTGAACCAACGAACTCCTGCAGCGTCGGCGGCAGGAGGATTTACCAGGTGTACGACCACTACACCAAGCAACCGGCCCCAGGGGGTCGAAACGCGAAAGTCAAAATTTCCATTTTGGACTTCTACGCATGGGTGGGGAAAAGGCCGCAGCTTCGTTCGTCCAGCTGCACGATCACTTCGCGTTCAGATATGTCTGTTTCATCATCACCGATCTTCACGACAGCTCGCTCTCCGAACTTATTCACCGTCATTCCGACCGAAAAGATGCCGATTAGGATAATCAAGCAAATCTCGAGCCAGATACTCCGCAGGATCGCTGCGCTACACCAGTTGGGCACAGTCCATACCGATCTCAAGCCTAATAACGTTCTCATCCTGCGTGAGGGGAACGAGGAGAATCCCTCAATCAGAATTATCGACTTCGGATGTGCAGTAGTTGACGACGAGTCCAACGACCACCTCATTACAACCCTTCCGTACCGCGCTCCGAAAGTGATCCTGAAACAGAAGTGGAACTTCTCCGAGGACATCTGGAGTGCAGCCTATGTTATCGTCGAGTTGTGCCAAGGCTCTGTTTCTTCCAAGCTCAAGATGAGTTTGAGTTGCTAGCTCAACATGGCCAGGCCTGCGGATCGAGTGTCCGTGGATGCATCCGCGAGTCACACTTGCGGAGGTTAGACTAGGTTGTTATGGATCTAGACACCGTGTAAGCCAATATTCTACCTAGCTGAATCTGGCCTTGCTAACGTGTTTAGCACGCAATATTCCTTTGGATCAAAAAGCAATAAGCTGGCTATTCGCTCCACGAGCATGAAGATCGCGGTAGATATTCTCATTTCTGCAGTCTTTGCAATGAGTCCTAACAGCTTTAGAAACTCCCACTGCCAAATTATCTAAAAGACATATGTCGAAGGATGCTTGTAATTGATCCTACAGGCCGAATCACCGCGATTGAGGCTGTGGCAGCTTGGGAATAGGCTTGGGGGCGGCTCATTTGACGTCCCCGACAACGTTGTGCGTAGGTAGACCACGGAGAGCTTGTTGAACCGTCGTGTTTGTCCACGATTTGCGAACCCCAATGTAGTCAGCGATTACCACGACCTTCCGGATCCAATTCTTCAAGCAAGTTCAACAGCTCCTTAGGTCTGCGACCGAGAATGTCATCGTATATGCTATCTTGTTGTTTGCCCTGCATATTGACAGATGATCGGCCCATCTCGATCGGCTTGGCCTCATGTGAGACCGATCCTCTATACCATGTAGTAGATCACTCTGCTTCTCTACTGTAGTTACTCCTTAACCAATCCTTTCACACCTTGAATTCATCCCTCAATACTGCAGGCTTTCAAGAAGTTGCCGTCCTAGTACGTCCTAAAAAGCTCGCTTCTAGACTGGTCGCTCTGTGTTCTAATGAGCGTTCATGATGTATAGCTGTGTTTGGAGCTGATGCGCTGATCGTTGACATACATCAGTCTTGCTACAATCCTCCTCTCTTGAAAGCGTTGACTTATTATTGCGAATTACATGCGACACAAGGACGGGAAGGGGTTGAATGACACGCATCTAAATCAGCCGTTGTTGCAAGATTCCTGATTACGTCTTCTTTCTACTATGCCTTTATAAACAGATCGTGCGGCTTAGTGAGGTCATTTGAGTTGAGACAAGACTTCTAACGAGTTCTTAACGGGTTTGGATGAACACACTTTGACAATACACTTACACCCGGTGTCTAGTGCCATGATGCGTTGGTGTAGAAGTTAAGAAGTTTGTCAATCAGTACTCACGCATGACGTGTATGCCACACGAGTATGTCATCTTAGCCGAGACAAATCCGCCCCCACCCTTCTCGACTTCCATGTTAAAGCTGGTTCGCAACTAACGACAACCCCTTACCTTCCTTGCCAGCCACTCTTCCAGAAATCTGTCTAGCTATCAGGCCTCCGACGACAAACCTGAAAGGTTTTCATTTCACCTCAATGGCTCTGGGACTGACTAGGATTCTAAGCTGGAAGAGCTAGTACCAGTTGGCATTCATCTTGAATTGCTGTTACGCTAAGTTGGTGAAGTATTCTGTACTGAGTATAGTGTTCATGATTCGAAAGGCAAGTGACAGATAACGCGCTACTCATATACAGTGTCAAGATATATAGCTACTCTGCTGTTGATTTGAGGATATGTTTTATAGCGTTGGTCCCCCAAGTATCAATACCATACACAGCCTCAGCTTTATGTCTTGTGCCTGCTCGAAGCTCCTGAAGAGTGCTAGTAGACGCGAGCCGATCCTCATCATGATCTCTGAACATGAACCACTCAGTGAGTATTGTATGGCCTTGAATGTACGGCCAGCACACCGTGTACAAGTGGGTGTACAAGTTGGGCGCGTAGTCGTCTGGCTTTGGTACGCGAACACGCGCCAGAACATAGCAGTCTGTGGATGAGACCTCTGAGGCTGCGTTTATGCCCGAGAAGCTTTGCACGGCACCGGTACCTGCGTATTGGGCGTAGAACAAGATCTCGGCGTCAGTTTCGGCCCACAAGAGCTGCACTGTCACCACCTCGCCGGGTAGAATTTGGCCTGCGGTAGGCAGCATATAAGGCCCTGCAGGATCACCCCTTGCCGCTAAGACAAGGTATTTTCGAACATCCGAATTTAGGTCCAGTTCTGCATCTGTCTGCTGCAAGATTGTAATTGGTACAGTGTTCTCGTTCTTTTCCATCGAGTGTGCCTGAAGACCTTCCAGAACTCTGCTACTCCTAGTCCCAGGTCATCATGGTTAGTGCCGACTCTAGAAACAATAAGGGCAGAGAATCGTCTTACGTGCGACTTGTAGATGCATGTATACTAAGTTTTGCGTTCGGCAAATGTTTCCGGATGATGCGTGAGAACTCTCTGCAGAATTGTTCATCAAGAAACCGGCCTCCAGCTAGTATCACATGTGTAGCAGCCCCTCCGTCCCCTCCCCTGCCGATTTGAGCGATATGTTTGAGATGATCAATCGCAAATTTGATAGCTTCTGCGTTGTCCTCAATCCTAAGCTGGGAGCACCTGCTCGTGAAGCTTTCCATGTTTGAAAGAAACGAGTCAGTCTCCAAGGATCCTCTCGCCTGGGATATGAGAAAGGATTCCACAGTGTTCCAGTCCTCAGGTTGCAGAGGAAATTCCTTCATTAGCGTTTCGATTAGCGTCATTGTACCACCCTCCAGCGAGTTTGAAGCGTGATACTTAAATTGTACTGGCTCGCTGTACGAAAGGTCTGGCTCAAGTAACGTGAAATCCTAGGCCAAGACGATAAGGAGTATGCCTTCACCATGCCGTAGGGGGTGTACTCACAGTCGTGCTTCCACCAGCGTCGAAGACAGCAAGAAGCTTGTAGATATCAGTGTCTATGAAGGGCGAGGCTCTTAGGCTACCCTTATAGGCCATGTCTGACTCAAGCTGATCTGAAACGCGGATCTCGGCGTTAGAAAGTCCTTCATCTTCAGCAAAAGCTCTGCCAGAGCGATATAGTGCGGTCAAGACTGTTGTTTTGTAATGACTGCGTAATCCAGAAGGCAGAGCAATTGCTAGCGTTACCGTACCTCTTCGTCCGGATCTTCTAACGTAGTGAGTAAAAGCTTCCAGATCAGGTCGGTAAGACGAATGGAGTTGCCAGAATATCCGCTTAAACCACGTCTCAAAAACGACTTCTACGGTTGAGTTACACCTTTCAATTTCGTTTTGAACTTTCCCATCAAAGATAATCTTCTTCAAAGGCTGGTGAGTTGACGCTGCTGGATATTGGCGCTTCACCGCGTAGTGGTCATGGTGCGCTCGAGGGGTTCCTTCGTGTATCCAGATTGCTGACACTGGAACATTGTCGACATTCCTGAAGAAAGAAGGAGAGGAATCCGGTGTGGTACATCTCCAGCTGACTTTGGGCACGCTCGAACCAATGTCTATGCAGGCAGTGAGTTCGTAGTTGTTGACCGCAGGCAGCATTTGCCACGATTGGATGTTTTGCTCAGTGCCGCCTTGGGAACACTGATGGCAAGTCACCGGCTTGCTGTTACGATCACAAACCATATTCCCCCGGATCTGAAATGGTTGACGATCTCCAGCGTTGGTACAGTGGCGATGGTAAGCATGTTTGCAACGGGCACAGGTGACGAAGCCTGTAAGAACTTCGCCGGAGCACAAATGCTTAGTGCAAACGCCACAGTGCCGATACTGAGCACGTTCCGATCCGTCCTCCTCTATTATTGACCGAGTGAATTGCTCTGCTAGCAGAAATACTGGTGAGGTGCTTGCAGTGATCGACGACGAGTGGGGGTGTTCGCTATATTGTTCGAATGGCATGATAGCCCATTCAGGAAGCTCTTGTTTCTCAACACCCGATATGTCGAAAAGCTGCCTCCGATCCATGGTGAACTCATTCTTGGCTGACCAGCCTTGAAAGTACTCGGTACCAATTGTCTGAGTGGGTCTCATCAAAACACCTATGAGGATATTGCTCTCTTCGTGTATAATTTGTACGATTCCAGCAGATGAGGTTCCTGGAAGATACTCGTCGCTGTATGACAAGTCTGCTAGTAGCGGCACATGGTAATACTGCCGCTTTCGTCCGACGAGCTTAGCCTCAACATCGTAAACACCTGTTTCAACTCGAGGAGCAGGTTTAGACAGCTTTGGCCTAGGTATTCGACTTTTGCGCTTCTTGACTGCGGGACGAACGCCAGCTGCTTCAGAGGACTTGTGTGATCGAGTGGCGGTGGAGGCAGATCGCAAGACCGGGATTTTGGAATTCCTGGTAAGACACACCATAGCTGTGAGGAGACTACCATATGTCAGCCATCGAGATGTGCTATCAGGGACTTCTTGTGACCTGGCACCTTAGTAAACTGATCTGATTCGAGAAGCAAAGGTTTAAACACTTTCGGGAACTGTCCGTGTTACGGAAGAGTCTACAAGACAGACGTCGAGGCCTTCCTACTATGTATTTGAGGAGATACACAATTAAGACAGTTTGAGGGACGTAACGTCGGACGGGTGACAAACCTGCGGAAAACACAGATGATCAAGATCCAAGACGTGCGT